AGTCATATATCGCTGTTGCTTCGCCGATCACGGCTGTTGTCCCGGACCACGTATCGTCCATTCATGTGTTTAGGATGGCGGGAACCTTGTCTTGGTGATTACCTTGGCTTCAAGTCCCTAAGTTGCCACCTTGCAAAATCTCAATGCATATATTGGCAGTGTTGCGAGTGTGCGAGACTTGCGCATCTGCGGTGCGTACTTGAGACTCTTGTATTATTCCGCACAGGAGTCTTGGATAATCACACTGGCTACGCACACAAGCTGATGTCCATGCACTGCCAGCTGGTACGTGCCTGGAACTTGGTCCCCATTAACTCGTGGCATGGCTTGTCTCCATCTATATCTTCAACGTTAAAAGCCCTGTAAACTTCTAACGTCTTGGTTTCAGATGCGTTGCTTCGGACGAGGCGCCACCATATCCTTTCGTATCTCGGCGTGATGCTGATGGCAGTTGCCGCCAACCAGTTTTTCCATTTGACACTGGAAATCATCGACGCCATTCAACAGCAAAAACCCTCCAAAGCCGAGAATAATGCATTTAAAAAGGCTCCCATCCGCATCGAACACAGACACGGTTTCGCTCACGTAAGAACCGCCCCAGAAACATATTTCCCTCTTCCATGTTCTGGTAAGGCAAGGGGGCCTTGCCTATTCAGTTCCTCCCTGCGGCATTGACGCCCCCAGTGAACCTACACTTTCCCAATCACAGTGTGACGCCGTCCAAGTTTTTGAAAGGGTGTTCTTGCCCGGAACCTGGCGCAATATCTGCTCTGTCATTTCTTGTGTGTGCACCCCCACCTAATGGGCTTGATTCGAACTTGCCCGCAGCTTCTTGTGACGTGGAAGCTGTCGATCGCATCTTGCAAGCTGCGAACTACATAATTTCTAGATACCTGACTATCTCTAGTCCTCTAAGACAGTATAATTCTCTTATATATCCCCGGGCATTCGGTGAAGTTGATAGAGCGCCTCACTATTGTCGTGTCGAATCTTAAAGACTCGGACTCCAATGGCTCGTCTAAAACTCCCTGGACTCTTTTCAGTCTATTTTTTGGAGAGCAGCCTCCGGAGTCGCTTCTCAGTCTTACAAGATTACAAGCGGTCGAGTTGTACTTTTTGGCTTCAGATGGTTAAAACATGGTAGCTGGGTGCTAGACCCAAGGAGTCGCAAGAATATGGCTCACCACACCCAAACCTGGCAGAGTATATGTCATACGTTCAATTTGACGCTAAGGCTAAATTTGGCATGGCTTTGACGGTCCACATCCCCCGTCACAGCGAAGACAATGCTGTAGCATCATGAGACGTTGCTAAGCTAGCGTTGGCGTTATAGAACTCTTCGTTTTAGGGTTAGGGTTGTTTCAAAGGCATCAGCTTTCTTAGCTATGCATCCCTTCGTGAAAAGCCATAGTCTATTGGCATGCCGTTTAAAGGCCTTTAATAAATTCTTGTCTCTTTTAGCTGCATCTTTATGTGTCATAAACCTCCTCAAACTGACGGTTGTGTCGTAAAGACCCCTGTATTAATGTGGCACGACCGGGGGGAGCTTAGGGGTGACTGACGTCACTTTAGCCAGAATCATCTTGTTGAATATTGAACCAACCTGGAACAACTTCAGGAGCTCGAGTTGCTCTGGGGTCAGTTTCAGAAACAGAGCCTATAAATATGAATGATTTCCAATGGAAATTATCATTTCCATAGCCGGACACAACAAAGTCTCGGTTAAAACCATGTCTATAATGATTTATCTCTGTCTGTAAACGCTGGTATTGTAGCTTAGTCGATGTGGCTGCTTTAATCTCGAACACCTCCTCAACCCGAGTCGGCCTGGAAATAGGGATGTTCAATAAAAAGATTTCAGCTTATAAACCTAAATGCGCTTTTCAGGCGATAAATTGAGCTTCTGTCTCAGCCATGACCACTGATCGAGAAAAGGGATGGCATAGTGGCGCCCTCGAAGTTTAATAAAGGTACTTGGGGCGTCATCTTCGTAAAACCAGGGCTATATCGGCCTCAACACTGACTAGAGGTCAAGTCCTTGACGATGTTGTCTGGCAACTGTGGGGCAAACCCGGGCGGTTGACTTGGTTTGCGAAACTCCCGACAGGGCTAGTTGATTGCACATCCCTCTATTAGTCGTCAAAGTTTCCCGCTCTCTCGTGAAGCCACGCTGGTTGAGCTATGGCTGTTGGAATCACAGGTTACCCGTATGGGAGGTAATCGAAAGAGTAAGTAGGCTGGCAGAAGCAGCAGTAATAAAGATATCACTGTTGGCAGCCCGGAGGTTGGATCTCCGGGTTCCGCTGCTGCGGCCGGCTGCTGGCTGCTGCTTATTGCCTGCCGCTATTCTGGCTGAGTAATCCGACAATGGCTAATGCACGACCCGGCGCCCAAAACAAAAGCAGCCTCCGCATGTTCGCATTCAGCTTCCCCCCGACGACTTCCAAGAGCTGTCATCTCCGCTGAAACGTTCGATATATTAACAGGATCATGCTGATTGGTGAGTTATGTCCATGATGGACGTTATGCTCCCCATGCCGGAGCCTCTCCTTTCTCTCACGCAACCTCATCCCGTCTTAATTCGAATCTGCGCTGACTAGATAGAAAAATGACTAGAACAAGCCGAGACGCTTTTCTGAAAGCTCCACGACGCCTGATCAAGGGCGGAAGACCGACACCTGAGCATGACGAGGAGCTACCCGGGTAGAGAGGGGTCGCGTTCCGAGCAGCAAGACGCCCCTGTGACATCTGGGAGCTTGCTCACCATGATGCTGAGTGTGGGAGACGGCAACAGACTGGTTGAAAAGGGCAATTTTAAACTAAAAAGTGTTGGGCTGTATACGCTGTTGGCTAGAGGTAAGGGTGTAATGATTCCTACACAACCGGTGGGTCTGGCAAGACAATATAACCAACTTTGAATCCGAATACAAGCACATACGACCATACCCACTGGAGAACTCGGGATCCCGTCCGCTCTCCCATAGATAAGCCAGTGAGGGCCGGATTAGTAGTTGGGTCGGTGACGACCAGCGAATACCTGGTGTTGTATGTTTTTGATGCTATACCTAATTTTTGTGTTGCGTTATTTAGCTCCACAAACATGGCGTACTCGCTCACCTTTTGAGCGGAGATATTCGAACAAGATGAGGACGCCGGTAGATTATAGTTGAGTTATAGAACTCTTTATTGACAACTCCATAGTCCTGGGAGAGATGAAGTTAAACGCTGAGGGCCACCGGTTGTAAGAATACATGACTAATAATCAGGCGAGCTGTTGCCAAGATAAACTATTCGCGATTGTTCAAGAAGACCTCTAGGGAAGCCGATTTCTATCCTATAGAGGAATCAGAAACGTTTGAGACGACTAAGGGCTTGCAGGCAGGTAAGATAGCCGGTGACGGGAAGTAAGATGATCCAGTTGCCGCTCCTCATTGCGCACATCGCTTGCAGCCCGTTTACCTTCGCAACGCAAGGACCTTTTTCGGGGTTCGGGGTCATGCTGGGCAATTATGGGGGTTTCGAGGAAATGAACACGTTGGTATCACAGGATACCCGTACGGGTAGTAAATCTATCGAAGAACAAAACTGGTACTGTATTCCGTTGATTGTGTAGAAGGAAGAAAAGAGAGACAACCCGCGGAAGCAGCAGTTGTGAAGATATCGCCGTTGGCAGCCCGGAGGAAGAATCTCTGGGGCCAACTGCTGCCGCTTCCCGTGGCCTGACCGCCTGCCCGTATTCTAGCTGGATAGTCCAACGGAACCTGACGAGAACAACGAGATTGTAATGGCCCTTTTATACTTGCACTTCTTTGCTATTTCTATTTTTAAAATTCCAGGGCAATCACTTTAGTTGGTAATAAGCGGCTGGCGCTTAAATCAACCCACCTGTTTGCCTGCATGGCTCGGCGTGGTGTTTGGCGCAACCAATGGGAATGTGGCTGTGAAATACTTTGGAAAATCAATTCTATCCTCGGCAAACTTGTCCGCAAAGCCTGCGGGTCTGAAAAGTCCGTCGAGGACTTGGTCGACAGGGCCACCGGACAAGAAAAGAACAGTGGCGGGGGTGGTGAGCAGGCCTGACGTTGGAAATCAAGCATGCCCGCCCGGCCGAGGAATGAAGATGAGAGGAGGATTCAAGGATTCCCGAAACCCGAAGTTGCTTCTCTGCCGCCGCCGCCAATGAACCAACCGGCGACATGGACACTTCCAACCCCTCATTAGCGCCTCCACCAAAAACAGACGGCTCGACCCAAAAAAACAAAAACATACAACACCAGGTATTCGCTGGTCGTCACCGACCCAACTACTAATCCGGCCCTCATTGGCTTATCTACGGGAGAGCGGACGGGATCCCGAGTTTTCCAATGGGTATGGTCGTATGTGGTTGGTTTGCGGGTTGGTCTAGCTTATATAGAGAGGAGAGGAAGGGTGGTCGGACAAGAGAACAGAACAAGCATCGAAACGGGAATGGAAGTGATTAGTCACGGCGCTGAAGCCCCGTCCCCGTGTTTTGCTCCTTTTCAAACTCGGGAGCTTCTTTTCACCATTGTATGCAGTGCTCATGATGCATGTTGCACTCCCAACCCTGGAAGCCCGCCCGCACTGCTGGGAGGGTGTCGAGGACTACTGGGACTTGCGGTAAGCGGTGTTGATTAGAGGGGGGTTGTGTCAGCAGCGTAGGTTGGGTCGGTGCGGTTGACGGCACAAGAAGTGCTGAAGAGACTAACAACTAAAGATAGACCAATCTGTTTGTGTCTACTAGAGCAAGTTTTGAAAATTAGAGGAAATTTTGAGGCCTGCTGTGACCATGCCGCGAATCTGCATACCATCCTGCAACATCCTTTTGAATCCGGCATAAACACCCTCAAGTGGCATTCTATTTCGGTTGCCTCCCGAGGTTGCATCAGTTGATAATGATGCTGCCCCTATTGAGTCTGGGGAAATTGCGAGCGCTGGTGTTTATGCTCCCATCATCGCAAAGTCGGCACGTCTTTTCTCTCATGTTCAGTCCCGGCCTCGCGCCTCGATATCCTCACCCTATCGGAAGATCAACGAAAATCCTCCGCGATCTGTGGGCCGCCAAGGAGAAGCTCCAGGCGTACCGAGCCCGCACCGGCGGCGGCGATGACGCTGAACCCGACAACGAGTCGGCCCTCGCCTGCAGCACTATAAAACGCGTGATTCTCCAGGACATAACGTCGCGCGAGAAGCGCCTCACGGCTGAGTTCTTCATGCGGCACCCGTCCGAGCTGAATGGCGGCGACGATGATGCCGCCGGCCACGGCGTTGACCAGACTGACGACGATGACGTCCGCTGGGGGTTGACGAGGGAGCAACTATCCCGGATCCTCCTTCTTCTGCAACCCGGTAGAAACGACCAGCCGAAAATTGCCAATGTTGCTGCTACACCAGGCCTCTCAGCCACCCATCCTCAGGCGATGCCATCTACATCTGCAGCGCCAACACCCCAAATTCTCCTCAGTGGACACAACTGTAAGCAGCAGCAGGCCCTAGGTGTTAGGAATAGCCTCTATAAATCTAAAGGAAATCTTAGGTATGTCGCCTGATGTATAGAAATGTATCTAGAAGCACCGCTATAAGTATAGTGTACCTTTATATATGCTTTTTACTTATCACCCTTCTTTAGCTTCTCTATATACTGGAGCTAGCCCTTTAAACTTTACTCCTTTATCTCCCTCTTTATTTAATTCATTATTCTCTACTGCTTTAACGCCCTGTTGTAAGTAAGGATAAATGATGGTGGTGCCTGAAATGGAATGCTGCTGCGTCGTTTTAGGTCTAACTGTTTAACACACATCTCCCTTTTCTGTAGCGACGCCGCCCTAGCCTGGCACCGCGTTTAGTGAAACCACGGTATAATGGGAGTGAATAAACCAATCAGCAGGTAGGGTCAGGTCTGCATCTCTACCTTTAGCCCCCCGCTGCAACAGAAGCGACAGCAGCTGTTTAAAGTACCACAGGGTGTTGCTTATACAGATTAATAGGGCGTTATAAGGAGGAGATGTTGATAGAAAAGAAGAAAAAGAACAAGAAGAGGGAGATAGAGGATGACATGAAGCTACTCTTAAACTTGCGCGGCCTACTGAGCAAGGTATCAAACCTTAAAATGCACTGGCGTATATATGTCATGGACCGCTGTGTCGCGAACTACAGCAATGACAATGCTGGCCATGGGTGATGCTTTATGTAGGCAGGGGGGGCAGGGGTCTAGGGTGAATGCAGTTTCAAGCTTAGAAAGGGATGATGGTAATACTAAGTGTGTATTTTTTTGGAAAATGTGGAATGTATTTGCAACCAAAATCTCAGGCGTCTTTATATCAGCATCCCGGCCGAGGTCGGCAATCTGTTTTCCCAGCATGCGGACCAGCCGTTGCGTTTTCCAGTACTCGCGGAGCTCGACATCACCATTGGAGGCCACATCAACATCCTGCATTCGCTCAGCGGGCTCCACGCGCTCGCCTTGCAAAGCACTCTGTCACAATCTACCAGCGAGCTTCAATCTGTCCTGTATACGGGAGCTTCCCCCCCTCTACAAACTGCACACGCTCACAATCAACACATTGTTTGGGTCTACTATACTCCAGTATATACACCACGCTTTCAGACCCAGGGACCTCGGTCGCGTCATCCGTCACACAACAGACGTGCGATATCTGAAGCTTGCGATTCCCCTGTACGACCCGGTTGATGGATATACGCCCATTCGATGCACGACTTGCTCAGACACATTGTGTAGATTATAATCCGAAGATAGTTATTAGTAGAGATAACTATCTGAACAAATCAATAACTTGAGCCCTGATAGTTTATGCAAGATGAGCACACCACTACTTATGTACAGGAAGCACCAAGATATCAAGTTGTTACGTGTGGAATTTACTTAATCGCAACAACCCTACTAACATTAGAGATCATTCTCAGGCGAGTTGAATAGAACCAGCTGTCTGGTAATATCCTACTCTAAAAGAGCAACGAACGCGTACAAAGTCAACCCTAGACGTCGATACTACAGGTCCACACTTTACCTGATCCAACGCCTATAGCGACCGTGGTTCCATTCACGCAAGAACAAATAGGTCGATACTCTGATGGTATCCAAAGCACATTCTTGCTCAGATGCTTGATCCACCTGTTGTCTGAGCTTAGGCTAATGCCTAGATACTGGGGAGCCGCGGGCTCAGCGGCCGTCGCTCTGTCTGTCGTTTCTAGACTATTGATGACGATTTTACCTATCTCAGTGTTGAGATACGCGTCGGTGAGGTCGAAGGATATGACTGAAAGACTCTTGCCGATTTTCAGAGTTTGTAAACAAGCGCCGCTACACGTGTCCCATAACCTGATAGTTTTGTCGTCTGACGCTGACGCCAGCATACTCGAATCGTGCGAGAAGGCTACAGAAGGGATGCGATCGCTGTGGCCTTTAAATATCTTCAGACACACCCCACTACTTGCATCCCAGAGTCTAACAGTCTTGTCGTAGGATGTGGATGCTAGTTGAGTCAACTTAGGCGAGAAGGCTACTGATTGCACAGAACTCTCATGTCCTTCAAACGTCTGCAAACACGTGCCGGTGTGTGCATCCCACAGCTTGACAGTCCTGTCATGTGACCCTGACGCTATCTTGGTAGAGTCGTGTGAGAAGGCTGCATACGTAGTATCACTAGTATGGCCTGTAAACGTCTGCAGACATGCGTCGCTGTTTGTATCCCACATGTTAAACGTAGGGTCGTTTGATGCAGATACCAGCTTGCTTGAATCAGGCGAGAAGGCTACTGAACTAAGTGAATAATTGCTGCCTATACACGTTTGTAAACATGTGCCGCTACCTGCATCCCACACCTTGACAGTGTTGTCATATGATGCGGTTGCCAGCTTCTTTGAATCGTGCGAGAAGGCTACACAGTAGATAGAATTACTGTGGCCTTCACAAGTGTGTAGTAAAGCTTTACTGGAAGCATCCCATAGCTTAACAGTCTTGTCATACGACACTGATGCTAGCTTACTGAAGTCAGGTGAAAGAGCTATAGATATAACACTATCACAGTGCTCTATAGATGTCTGTGAACATATTCTGCTGCTTGCGTCCCACAGCTTGACAGTCCCATCATTTGACGCGGATGCTAGCGTAGTTGAGTCGCCTGAAAAGGCAACACAGGCGACAAAGCTACTATGTCCTAGAAATGTCTGTAGACATGCGCCGCTGCTTGCGTCCCATAGCTTAATAGTGTTATCGTCTGATGCTGACGCCAGCTTAGTTGAGTCGTGTGAGAAGGCTGCAGATCTAACAAGTCCGCCATGACCCGTGAACGTCCGTAGACATGTGGAGGTGCTTAAATCCCATAGCCTCACCGTGTTGTCGTATGATGCTGATACTAGCTTGGTTGAGTCTTGCGAGAAGGCTACAGAGCTGCAGGCGTTGGTATAGCCACCAAGCCGCTGTAGACACTCGCCGCTACTTGTGTCCCATAGCAAGGGAGGGAGCCCGCCTGATGCTGTTGCAAGGACAGTCGAGGTATGTGAGAAAGCCACAGAATTGGCACCGTTGGTAAAGCCTGTAAGGGTCTGTAAACATGTGCCACTGCTTGCGTCCCACAGCTTAACAATCCCGTCACTTGAAGCTGATGCCAGCTTGGTGGAATCGTGCGAGAAAGCCACACACTTCACAGAAGAGCTGTGGCCTGTAAACGTCTGTAAACATATGCCGCTTCTTGTATCCCACAGCTTGACAGTACCATCACCTGACGCTGACGCTAGCGTAGTTGAATCGTGTGAGAAGGCTACTGAGTATACAGAGCCAACATGTCCTGTGATCGTCTGTAGACATATGCCGCTGCTTGCGTCCCACAGCTTGACGGTCATATCATCTGACCCTGACACCAGTTTAGTCGAATCGTGCGAAAAGGCTACAGACCAAGCGCTGCTACCGTGCTCAAACGTCTGGAGGCATGCCCCCCAAGCATCACTCATCGCTGGCTTAATAGTGATTCCATCCGGCTCTTCATGCTGGAACAGACTTCTGATGGTGCATCCTGTCGGACTGAACAACAATGCAGAATGATATACCTGTAAAGGGTAGCTTTCGATTGCTCCTTTGTGGTACATGATGAATCGACGAGCATGTTGGAGAAGCTCAGTAAGCTCATTCCCAACTTGCATGTCCTGACTGTTTTAGCAACTACTACAAGTGCAAAGGAGCGTCTGTGCAAGCCGTACCTGAACTAGAGAGTATAGCCTTGCTATTGAAACCACGCCTTTTGCTATGCTGTTGCACAGACTGAGCCCTTCCAGCCAGTACAGGTACTTCTTTCTTATGAACTCAGCAACAATGCCAGTGACTTGCAGACATTCAACGTTATTCGCCCGAGGTTTCGGTCTCGAACTGTCTAGATGGTCAACCCAGTAGATGCAAGGATAGCGCGACGCTGCCAGTGGGTCTGGGGCAGGCGGCTCAACGTCGTCAGTAGAGCATCCTGGCGCCCTCAAATTATACATGTCCCTGTGCAATGTCCTTGTCAGGGTCGCAAGCGATCTCGAGAAGATTCCATGATGGACGGCTTCGATTCCATGTGGAAAGATGTCGCCCGATGCTTTCGCGAAGAGAAAGTCTTGTGCAGATTGATGCACAAAATAGACCGTGTCTTCTCGCAGAGTCAGGAACGATCCGCAGAAGCCGACGATCTGTCGCACCGACTCTGGATCATCACCAAGATGCCCGAGTGACTCCACAAGCGCAATCAGTTCGCAGATGCTAACTGGCCGAAACAAGACTGCAGTCGTCGCCAAGACCTCCTGACAAATCTCAGCATCGTCTGAGTTGCTAATCTGCTGCATCATCCGCTGGTATAGAGTGTCTAGTCCAGGCGGGAGAAGGGCTAGCTTCTTCAGCACGTTCCATCTTGGTGTTATGTCGAGGTTTTGACACACCAACGCTACCCAGAGAAAGGTACCGCCGGCGTTCGAAGTCAGGTGTTCAAGCACAGCGGACCGGACTTCTGGTCTGTATTCGTTCTTCTGCGCCAACTGGTCCACCTTCTGCTCGATAAAGATTCCAACCGCTGCTGTGACCGACCCCGCGTTCAGCTCGAGGCTGAGCTTGTGCCCTGCCCGTTCCAGGTGCGCTTCAATTTCTGGCCAGTTGCGGCTCGAGGCAATCCACTTGACGCGGGAAGATGCGAACGACTGCTTTGCGACAAATTGAAGCAGCTTCAACCGATCGCCAACACACTCGTCCAGCGCGTCAATGACTATGTATGTGGTGCCTAGGCTCGGATCCTGCAGCACATCTGCAAAGGTCTCTGACAAGGCAATCCATGCGTTTGCATCCTCGAACATGTTTTTGCCCGCCTGGTCGTATCTTTTGCGAACGTGCGCGGTAAGCGCCGGCTGCTGGCAGACAAGCAAGTACAGCAGTCCTCGCAGCACAGCCGTGGCGCTGTTGATGCGCGAGTCAGTAGCCTGGCAAAAAAAGTATGTCACTGACGCGGCGCCAGCAACCGTTTTCTGCAGCTCGTCGATGATGCCGCAGAGCAACATGGTTTTGCCCTTGCCAGGATCGCCTTTGATCCACAGCAGCTGGTTCTGTGGGTCATTGCGCCATTGCTGGAAGCTGCTGTTGGTGAGCACCCAGCGGTACAAGCCTTGCAACAGACCGCCTTTTGTGTCTTCGATGCGCTTCTTATCGTCGCGAGGATCCGTAGGGCGTAGGTCACGGAGGCAATCCTCCCGCCTCCGAATCTCATCACGAAGCCGTCTGAAAGCTTCCTCCGTGCCTTCGCCATAGACAGGCGCCATCTCAACGTCGAAGATGCCGGACAAGGAGTACGCTGCGTCCTCCTTGAGCCTTGTGTGCCGATCCTGTCTCCAGCGAAACCGCTCTTCAACGCTAGATTGAGAAAGGGGGCCCCCTTCGAGCACATGATGCGGGATGGTCGTGACTTCGTGGATCTGGGACTTGAGTGATGTTCTGTCACCAAGCTTGTACCATTTGTGCGAGAAGAACTCAACAACGCTGGGTGCGAGAAGCTCTTGCAACGTCCAGCCACGCGTGAACCACTTGCACTGTCGGAATTCCGAGTCCCAAGGCGGCGAGCTGGCTGCTCCGTCGACTACGGTGGGCGAAGCAGGCACGTCGGGCAGGTAGACGTAGCATCGAGCTGCGTTACGATACCAGTAGAACATGGATCGGATAGCCAGCGAGAGCTCAGCCTTGTTCGCCCTGTCGATGCAGCAGGTATCGACCCAGAAGTACTGCAAGCCGTCGCTTTTTGCCTGCTGTCCACACTGCTTGATCTTCTCGTAGCCGGGCTTGTCCTTGCCGGCGTCCGCTGCAAGGTCGTCGAAGGTCACCTCTTCGTCGACCGCTCCCCAAGTATGCGACAGGATCGCGTAAGGGGGTATCGTGCTGGCGTCGACCAAGTCGGCAGTAACACTGATTTCCCCACCTTCTCCGTGATATAGGAGCCGCATCGTTTCGGGTGGACATGTGGTGGGCGTGTGCGATAGCAACGAGAGTCGACAGACCTAACGCGGCGGCCTGGCAGCAAGAGCGTGCGGCCCTGAGTTGCTCTATCGCGTTCGTATGTCAGCAAGCGGAGGGTGACTGGCGAAACACGCAAAATCTTGGGCAGGCCTCTTAGGCCATAGGGAGATGCGACAATCTCGCGAGATGAGTCTGGTGGGTTTGGTCATGTCGCTGGCATACGAGGCTTGCTTGCCTGAGGCGGGGCAGACGCGGTCGGCGGCATATGCCAGGATCCTGCCGATGGCACAAAAAAGGACCGAGAAGACGCAACAAGTGGAGCAATAATAGAGACATGTTCACCGATGAGTCGATTATGACTGCATTCTTCCTTGCAACGACACCTGGCCAGCGGGCCTTTTCACTGCATCTCAGGGCATTAAGGCCAATCTGCTGTAGGCTTAAAAATACCCATGGGTAACCACCTGTGGTTCAAACCATTCAAACCATGGTTTGAAACGGTTACCCATATGGGTAGGTGGGTAGTGTGGGTAGACGGGTAATTTTAGCATGTGTGGTTTGTGGTTTATATGGTTATAACTAATGGGTAAAAAAATTATTTTAAGTGTTATTTAGTATTTAATAAACTTTAGGGATTTTAGAGAAGATGATTATAATTAATTATTGCTAGTAAATAACTATAGACCATCTCTATGGTTTTCTTTCCTACCCATCCCTATAGTTTACACGGTCTACAGTACCCATGCAACTATGAACCACGCTTATGGTTTACCCATAAAAACCGAACCACCACTATGGGTACCTATGGTTAACCATGGTTCGGGTATTTTTAAGCCTAATCTGCTGCAAAGATTCGCGCGCCTGGTGTGCCTTCTAGGGTTCCAACCTATAGATGATCTGCATCGTTTGTGTTGTACTTTACCTCCTGGCGATGTCTTCCTTCCGGGTGGAAGACTGCGAGTCATATTGGCCTTCTTGGTCTATTACTGATCTTTCGCCACAACAGCGCCTTTTCCTTCATTTTCTTCCTGACATTCAGATAGTACACTTTAAGACAGCTGCACATTGTGCATGCCGTTGCTCCGTACTTGATGATTAGAATCTGAGAATACCGGCCTTATGCCCTCAGGCGGGGTGAAGGACATAAGACCTCTTATTCAGCTTGACTCTTAGCGGAAATGGTTGCCGTAGCTTGTTTACAGCAGTATAGTAGTATGCGGGAGGGGCCGCGGATGGACCACCCAGCGACACCCGGCTTCGTCGCAATACTTCCAGAATCCAGATCTTCTTGAAGCTTAAAACACTGATGTCGCTTGAACCCAGACTCTGAATATCACCGTACGCCATGTCTGCGCTTTGTCGCTGCCCTGGTTGCGAGAGACGGCATCCGACCAACCTTATGGTGTTCCGCGTCCCTAGGCCATCACAAGCATCCATTGCACTGCTTGTGGCTCAGCATCATGCATGTCGCAAAAGGCGCATATGCGTCATGGCGCCAAGTGATAGCGATAGCACGACTTAGCGGCTACAACACGACTCACAGCCGCTGGCTAAGCAGTGTTCACGTCTCCTCGTATTTTAGCCTACGACGAGGGCGATATTTCTATTTCGATATAGGTGCAGCTGAATTTACGTAGCAACGAGCACCGTGGACAGGACCGTCAGAGGACCCAACCACATGCTCACTGCATCTCAGTTACTTTCTCTTTTCCGCCCACTGACCCTCGCCATATGCCCGTCGTCGTGGTTGGTAGCGTTCGCTGACTTTAAACTGTCTGATACGCCTATGATCCGTCATCCTTTTCCTCGTCCTCGGTCACGTCGGCTTTAGCTACGAGGCTGGGATTGCCAACAAGTTATGGTTGCTATGATGAGGCGAGGCAGGTAATGGATGACTTGAGCGAAAATGTACTGATGCCGTCGGGGTTGTCTGTCAGCCTGCCTGCCCACCTAGCCGACTACCTACCTGCCTGAATTGCTGGGGAATACGGGCACGGCGCGTGACCGATACAGAACGGGCCTGGCACGCCTTCAACGCTGAGGGTTCTTGCACCTCAACCAACGTCCCGTTGTCACGCCACACACCTCTTGTCGACTCTCAACTCCCACTAAACCCTACATTCCGCAAGCAAGCGAGCTCCGGATTATTCGAACGGGTGTAGCTGATCCCGGGACCAAAAAACAGACGTGTCGCAGCCAAGACTATTATTTCGACCATGCAACTCGAGAGCCTCGCTCGTTGCATCGGCTCGGCTGGCAGCTGCCGGAATGCATGCCTCTAGAGAGCCGATATCAGAATGGCGTCGGCACCCACAAACAAACCGCCGGCACAAGATGGGTTAGCACTGCCTTGCCTCGAATCTGCCCCTTCGCTGCGTCTAGCTTCCTGTAGGTTCCGTGACTGACGGTTCGTCCAGTGTGTCACTCTGTCTGCCAAGCACCCACAACCCACGCCCCGAATTCCAACACCCCCGAGAAAAGGGTCTTAGAGACAGCGGTATGCGTTGGGAGGGAAAATAAACCCCTGAATATAAAGTATTTTGTGTTGGTCCGATTTACTCCAGCCCGAATATGTTCGTCCAATAATCCCAAGCTGACCAAGGCTGGACCCTGGAGGAAACCCAATCTCATTCCATCCAACCATCAAACCGCTGGCCGCAAGCTTCCTCCGCACGGGCTTCTCTGTGCTGGAGATCTCCTGCAAGACTACCGGTACGGTTGGATGGCGCACAAGCTCTCCTCGTTGAGGGTAATTACCCCGCATCTGAACTATAGTGGGGTGGCCCAGACCGGGTCTGCGTAGTCGGCATTTGAGGCGGGTGTTGGCGGCAACGGGTGCGTGCGGAATTGAGGCGAGTTACCGGGAGGAGTGTTTGGCCAGTGCTCCTTTCCAACAGATGCGTATAGAGTTGCATATGCCGATGACTGGGCGGTCGAATAGACAGCTCACGCCTGAAGCGGTGGTGATGTCGTTGCGGCGAGCCCTAGAAGCAGTTTTGGTCTAGGTTTGTACCCGCAATCGCCGTTCTCATTCATTCAAATACTAGCAATGTTCATGCGGCAGCAAGAAATCGTCGCCTGTGACTGTCGCAGTTATTGGGACATTCCTGGGCTGCATCCTCAAGGGGGCTTCTTCATGTTCCCTGCCCATCCGGACCCGGACTTGGCATTCATGAACTTGGTCCAGCTAGCAGTGACTATTAACCTCGGCACATTTTTAAATAATTACCCAAGTAAATGGGAAAAGACGCCAGTGCTAGCTGGCTGAGAACAGGAGGAACAGCGTGCACACGAGTTTTGCTACCCTCAAGCTTTCCTGAGCGCCAGCGCCGATGACAGTTGGGCGGGGTGCGGAACTACCAAGATGGGGTAAACCACCCCCAAGTACCTCGGGCAGGCATACGACGTTCCGAAATTTCATACATGGCCGAGTACTCTCTGCAGTTTGCCAATATAACGGTTCACAAGCAGAACCAATGAGCTGATGGCTGTTGCCGTGTGCAAACAAGACGATAATAACCTATTCCGGCGTGAAACTGCATGCGCATCTCAGTGCCATGGGCCATTCCCCCCGCCCCCTAGGTGTGGCTTATACCTTATCATATCTTATCTGGTATATGGCGCAACCCTTGACACCATGTCTCTCGGCGGTCGGTGGCCCCTATCGACGGAATGAGCGTCGCGAGGGGATTTCGGGCCACGGTCTGGTCATCGTGGCTCCACTATCTTTCCAACCGACGATTCAATTCGCACAATCTAGATGGCTGAATCAAAGACGACTCGTCGGTTATCCAAGAGCTGCTTGGCCTGAAGTCGCCCGATTTGAGCCGGGTGAGCTAGGTACCTGAGGAACGTAGTTCCGAAGGACTCATCGAGTAGTACTAGAACCAAGCAATCAACACGTCACGATTCAGGCCCCTGGCGCGCGAACCATTTCACAGTAGGGGCCCCCTTTTGCTACTTTAGGCCTCGGCGGAAATAGATTCCGCCGAGGGCGCTCCTCACACTGCTATAAGCCCGTTCAATCTGATAAATGGATCACGACCTTGGTAGCGAGACCTGGCAACATGAGCACCTGATGAAGGATCAGCGCCCTATGAAACGACTGGCCTACCTGAGGTCTAATAATGCCCTGGCCCCTCCCTGTTCACGGGTAATGAGCTGTCATTAGAACGGGTGGGCCCGGGTCAAGCCGCCCCTGCAGACTGCCAATCGGACACGATTCCAAACCAGCATGGGTGCACCCTGCCAGCCCTGCAGTCGATCAGGGGGAAGCGCAACGATTCCTCATCAATCGCGTTTGGGCATCGGCAACATAATGCTCCGACAATCCATCCAAGCTTCTCTCTTCCTGCAAGGCTGATCCCTTCTTTCTCCCATTCCAAGTACCGGCGCATTACGAGAAGCTGCCCGTGCCTTGTCTGCTCGTGTCACTTGCGCACACCATCACCACCGCTGGGCGAGCATTGGCAGCGATGGCATGGCGACCATGGGAGAAGTTCAAGGCCGACCATCCCGCCACGGCGGACTGCATGGTCGAATCATGGGCCGCCGTTCGGCCATATCTGCCTCCGGTCAACTTCATCACAGTTCACTACGCCTACTTCATACTGACCGGGCTCATCTTTGCCGGCATCTTTCACGGACTGTCACACCCGGCCAACAGCGTCAGCTTCATCGATAGTCTTTTCCTCGTCATCTCCGCCTTTACTACATCCGGACTTAACACGGTCGATATCAGCAAACTCAGTACCGCCCAGCAGGCTATTATAGCCTTGATGATGATTCTTGGCAGTCCCGTCTTCGTCTCCATCTTCACCATCTGGCTCCGCGCCCGCGTCTTTGAGAAGCGCTTCGAGGACATCGTCGAGGCCGAACGAAACAGGAGGATCAAGAAGACTGGCACCATAGTTGGCATGGCTGGAGCCATGATTGGTCTTCCTGTCATGTCGTCCTTTAAGGGGTCTAAGCGGAAGCAAAAGAAGGGTAGACACGAGCGGCAGGCCGAGGCAGACGCCTTCCAGCTCACGGGGTCTACGTCCCGCGAGAAGGGCCACGACCGGAGCCAAAGCCAGACCACCAATCAAGAGTCTGCACCATCCGGCATGCTGGAGTCCATCGAAGAGGGCCAGAAGCTCGGCGTCTCCACCAGCTCCACCGAGCCGCTCTCGCCCAAGTCGAATGCCACCACCAGGCGGAGGCCTTTCAGTCGTGATGACGGCCGCCAGTACATTTCAGAAAGCTTCGATTTCAAAACGTTCATCCACGAGAACAAGAAGTCAGTCGGCAGGAACGGCCAGTTCTTCGACCTCACATCACCACCCTATCAGTTTTCGGACTTTTGACATGGCACTGTACTAGTTAAGTGTAATGCAGATGCTTAAGCTAATCTGCTCCGTCGTTCCAAATCTATACAGCGCTCTCTCATGGCTTTTCTTTCTGATAACAATGATCCTAGCAACCCGTCATTCTGCAGGAATTAAGCTGTTTGGTTGAACAAAAATCCCTTTTTCGATCGCGACTGGCCTATAATATCCACTTCAATTGTTCTTTTATCATTACACAGGTACTGGATGAAAAACCTGTTTTAGTTGCGATACGTGGAGCTGTTCTCTTCCAGTCAGCAGTTACTCTTGGCGATGAACACGAAGCACCGCATGCTTCGCTTATGAACTCGAAATTTTCACAAGGCACCTGATCTGTTTTTTAAAGTGTAGATACTAATTATCACGTTCGTGCATAGCTTACCGCCGGCTCACAGGCGCTTTACGAGGATGGGTCATGTCATGAGCATCGTGTGCGAATAATGAATGATATCAGTTCGCGGTTCCTTGAAGAGTCCGTCATGAACAATAGGTAATTGTCAGGCAGTGGAACGTATGGGGCCAATAGTGTATATTGATAAGCTTGTAGAATTAATGACAGTAGCGGGAATGAAATCCCCTTTATAAGAGAATGTCGCTTGGTTCCTATTTTGCATGAGTAATGTATGGGAAAGTATTAACCTAGATTGTGACATGACATCACTGCTCTTGGGTACAAGCCCGAATATTACCCACTCTAGTATTCGGTGACGGAACGCGTCGAGATATACCCATCCGTATATAGCCATTAGGTGCATCCTTCTCCCGCCCTAATCTACCTACTCTAGTATACCGTCACGGAACGCGTCGAGATACAGGATGATTATATAACCATTGGTCGGATTTCTCATTTGACTTACCCTTTATGCTTCGACTTTCTTGACGCGTTTCCTACACTAGTATTAGCCTATATCGTGCACAGGCTCCCGTCCACCCACAGCCCTACAAAGAGATCTTGACGCGTTCCCTAAGCTACACTATTAGCTGTAACGTAGTGTTAGGATAGTTAAGGATAAGATGTAAATAAAATCAATTTATTTGTCTTTTTTACCTCCTTAATAAACAGAGTAGTACTTTAGTAAAGTAAAGCTATTTTTTTATAGTATATAAGATATTTAGAATAACTATTAGTTTTATTTTTATATTATTTAGTTTATTTATTTACTAAGTAAATATTTATCTATATATTCTATTAACATATCATAGAGCAGGACTATAGCTGCCTTATACTACCTCTTGTCCTATAACTAGAGAGACGCCACTATATAGAGCTATGTGCGTTAACGGCCGCGCAACAGTAGCGCCTTAACGCCCTCGGTCTGTGCCTAAACACGCCAGAGCTAGCCTTTATTTGCTAACCATGTGGCTATACCTTGAAGCCGTTTAGTGAGCAGGTAAGCCGCCACCTTGCTGAGAAGCATGATGTGCCTAAGTCGGAGCGCTGTGGACTGAGTAGGCTAGTAAAGTCCATCGGGCTCCTTGACCCAAACGACATTCTCCTTTGGTCAGACGGTCTGCTGCCGTACCTGGCCCTGACGACCGTCATTAGCTACGCCTGCCGACATTGTGACTACTGAACGGCAAGCACCGACTTAATCAGCCGCCATGTTGCCTGAACGTACGGTTTCAAGGATACCCAGAAGGCAGACGGGTGGCAGCGGGACTATATCCGTAGCGGCCTGTCGCTCCAGAGCTGGTCGCAGAACGGCCTACGGGGCTACTGGGTAGCTCAACCGGCGACGGCGACAGCGCTGCAGGGACCTGGGAGGGGACGGCTGAAAACCCGCTGTACTAAGCATCTGCTGCCCAGAAGGCTCTGCTGGCTGCTGCGCACGACGCTGAGCAGAGCCACTACTTAGCTAGCCGTCCAGCTGCTGTTGACAGTGGCCTTGTTGACATGGCTATGGAGACGAACTGGATGCGCCGCACCGGCTGGGCTGAGATGTTTGACGGCGCCCGACGTGACATCCTTGTGGCTATGTCGGAGCTGCTAGCCACGGCGGCCACAGCAGAAGGGTTTCCCCTCGGCCGAGATGGAGAGGGTAATGCCCTTACAAGCTCGCTGGAGGACGAAGCCTGTCTCTGACGTATTATCTTGGCTGTGGATGGTCTTATGGACTGCTGTGAAGATATAGTACGCTATACTGATATGTCTATGTATTGCTGGCTCTAGAGCTTGGAGCTATATTGCCCTTATAAGGTACCCTTTGAGCTAACTAGCTAGCTGTCTATTATATATAGGTATTGTAGGTTGCTTAAGCAGCTACTTTGCTTCTATATCTGACTTTGGCGTCTCTTACTAGGCCCTAGATTGTTGTAATACTAGTAGACCCTTACTGTTAGCTAGTCTTATGCGCTTAGAGCCCTTTGGTTAGATGATATCTGGACGTCTGTTAGCCTTAGCGGCCCAGGGCCTATTGCCCCTTATAGAGATGGTGCTATAGACTATATAGGTAGCTATTGTGTAATATAGACAAGGAGGACTATAAGAGCTAAAATAACTAAATCTGTTTTATTAGTAGAGCCCTTAGTAGATAACAAGTAGCTAGCTAATAAATAAGAGAGCTCTTATAAAGAAGATATTAATAAATATAATAAGAGTATAATAAAGGAGAGTAATGCAGAGGATATATAGAGTAAAGACATAGAGGGGATATAAGATCTGGCCTGTAGTTCTCTAGACGGAAGAAGAAGCTTTTATCTTATAAAGGATAAACTGTAAGCTAGTAAAGATAATGTTGTGTTATAAAGTCTCTCTTATTACCCTTAAACTATCTCTAAGAGTCCTTTTTTTAATATTTTATTATAGAATTAACTTTAATTAGTAATTACTATATAAGGACTACTTTTAGGGACTTTATTTTATGTTTTTTTTACTTTTTAGTAATAAAGGAGTTTAAGGATAGTTAATTTAAGTTAATGCTCTAGGTCTACTTTAGTAGTGTTCTTAGCCTTATATTTAATGATACTGGTTTTTAGTGCCTATAAAACTATACTAGGAACTTGTTAGTACTTGTTTATTGCTTTTGTTTAATTATAGTAGAGGTGTTACTTTTCTAGACCTTTTATAACTATGCTGGTTACCTAGTAAGGCCTTGTTACAGGCAGCTTAAGAAGCTGAACGTAGTTTGTTAAGAGAAGATGTGCTTAGTGTCCTAGGTGCTTCTAGGGGAGCTGTTAAGTCTATAAGCCTATGGATATGCTGTAGCTTAGTTAGATAGCCTTAGCTTCTAAGTTAACTAGAGTAACGATAAATAGGTCCTCTCCTAGGATAATAGCTGGCTCTTATTAGACTAGTTCTAGGGGATTGTGTATGTTATGCTCTAAAGTGTAGCTTTTGCTATTAACTAGTTGATGTATAGCTAGGAACTAGCTTATGACCTGTCTAAGATTAAGGACCAGATAATAAATACCTCTTAAGGCTATTTTTTTGTCTTAGAGCTTACTAATAGCTTCTTTAAGGCCTACTTAGACCTCTTATAACAGGCTTTTTTAGCTAGAATTAATGGCTTGTTATTAAATAATAGGTGGGTGTGGCAAAGGGTTTAGCGTTACCTTAGTGATAGTAAAGTACTACTATTAAAGCTATTTGTCTTAATCTATTTAACTAGTAGATAGGTAGTAAGAGGAATAGAGCTAATAAGTGTAGAACACTAAAACAGAGCTTTTATATAGTAAGGTATTTATATATACTTTAGAGCTTTTATTATTATTATAAGATATTATAAAAGCTAAAAGGCTATAAATAATAAGTTTTAGGTAGCTAGGGTTTTATTAGATGCTATAGGTAGGCTTCTATACCTTTATCTTGTTTACGTTAAGCCTTTTATTAGTATACTTAAAAGGGTGTTTTTGTATAAAGTTAGCGCTAAGGAATTAACTTTCTTGTTTACTTCTTATACTTAGCTAGCTATACTCTAGGCTACTAAGAGGCTTTTAAAAGGACTTGTATAAGCTACTATTTACTTACTAAGGCTAATAATAAACACCTAGACATACTAGTAGTTATCTATTACTATTACTAAAAGGTTCATTAAACAAATTAATAGTTTGTTTAATAAGTATAACGACAGGTCCTTTAATGCGCTTATTAGGTTAGTATTCGCATAGTAAAGTAGGCACCAGCCCTTATAATAAGCATTTATATACAAGCTAAACAGCATATATCTTAACAGTCTATAACTAGCCTTTCTAGAAACGTACAAATAGGTATCTAGTAAGTAGTACTATTTCCTTTAGCTAGAACACCCTACTAACCTATCCTAGAGCTTGTCTTACTAAACAAGCAGACTAACTTAAGGCAAAATACCTAACATAGTATATCTATAAGAGCCTAGAAGTAAGGCCTAAGTAATAAGCTACAAGAGATAACTACTAGAACTATATATTACCTTACTTACTACTTAGAGTAATTACCTTACTAAGCGTATTTATCTAGCTAGAGCTACTAGCCTAAAGGAACCTTTTATAAAGAATAGAAAGTAGGTAAATAGCTATTACTATAAAGGACTATAGATATAGGTTATAGAGGAGGAATTATATAGACGTATAGCTAGGGTGCTATGGATTACAAAACTCTTGTTTATAATTAGTGCTATTAAGCTTAAGGAAGCTAATAGCTAAGAGCTATAGCGTTAAGTTTTAATATACTTATAAGAAATAGATACTAAAAGGAATAGATATTTTAGAATATGTTTTTATTTCTGCTTTTTTAAAAAGATATTTAGATACTAAGAATTTATTAGCTACTAGGCCTACTTTATTGCTATTAGGTTAACTTGTAGTAGTTATTAACTAGGATACTATTAATAATAAGGTAAAGGTAATAATGGGGCTTATAAGGTTCTACTTTGGTTAGAGTAACTAGTTTTCTTTAGGTTTAGTAGTAGCCTTAGTGTAAATAGCTTTTGTAGCCTTTATGTTAAAACATTTACTATATGTAAGGACTTATAGTCTAAGATTTAGGCCTTATTTATAATAAGCCTTAAAAGTAAGAAGGCTGTTCTTATAAAGTATTATGACCTAAAACTTTATATAGATACCTTTTATGAAAATAAGGCTATTATTAGATAAACTATTATAGCGTTAACTTATAGATATAGAATAATAGTGTCTTAGGTAAGGCCTTTATAGTATTCTTGTCTTAGGACTAAGGGATTAATCTTGAGGCTAAGAGCTATATATAGTCTTGGTTTAAGTGCTTTATAGTTATACTAGGGGAAAAGGATTGTCTTACTACTTAGAGGTTTACCTTAAGACTACTTTTTGTATTTAAGCTATTAATAGCTAGATTTAACTATTAGTAGAAGTAGATACTTTTATATAATAATGTAAGGTTAGTGTTTAACTTAAATAGATGCTTTTCTTAGTAGGTTATGCTTAATGAAGATAATACTAAATAAATTAAGGCTATATTAGACTAGTAGCTAGATAAGTGTGTTTTCTGTGTAGGCTATGGAATAAGCGTTGAAGAGCATAAATATACTATAGCTAATTGTTTGTGAAGGGGTGTAGCTTAGTAGAAGACTTAACTTAGGGAGTTGTTCTTTTTTAAAGGGTTTTATAGTGAAGCTAGATACCTAATAGGTAGCTCTTTATATGCTATTTGTTAATAAGAGCTTATCTATAAGGAAAAAACACCCTAAGTTAAAAAGACTTACCAGTATAAATTCATAGTATATAATGCTATAACTGGTTTGTTCTAGTGTAGGAGGCTAAAGTATTGCCTTTAGGTTTATAAAGCTATAGTTAATGACAAGGAAGGAATCTATACTTAACTAGATAATAAGGATATTACAGTATAGCTATACAGTTTTATTATGCTAGGTAAGGGATAGTGTAGTAGAATAGTAGTAGAACTAGTGTATTTAGCTAAAGGTATTATAAAGGAAATTAATATAACGTAGTAATAAGTAATAGAGTAATATAATATATATTTATAATATTTATTTAGAAGTTGTTTTTATTACGGCTTATTGTAGGTGTAGTACTAGAGGTAAAAGGTATAGGGGAAGGATGGCTAGTGGTTTATAATAAGAGTAGTAAAAGTTTTTTTAGGACTAGGTATATATGTGTATTTAGACTAGATACTAAAAGAAAAAGTGTAAAAAGTCTGCTTCTTTATAATCTAAGCTTAGAAGAGGTTAATACTTTTATAGTAGTAGAAAAGATTTTCTTAACTAGGTATATTAACTTTTCTTATAGTAACTTATTACTAGGTAAATATAAAGGAGTAAATAAAATAAATAAATTAAAAATAGCTACTAAACTAAGACTTAGACTTAAATCGTTTTTTTAGTTAATAAGTTATTATACCTTTAAGTTATATTACCTTAGCTTATTATTAAAAGGAAATAAATAACGTACTCGCATAGCGAGTGGGCCAACATAGCGAGTGGGCCACTCCTTATCGCTAGAAAAACCCCTTTTTTTAACTATTTATTAAAAATCTACTTCTTATCTAAAATAGATATAACTTTGTATAAAGGCTTAGATAAGGGTTATTAAGTAAAATAAAATCTACTAGAAATTATTACTATACTTTAACCCCTAGATCTTTAGAAATTCTCTTATCTAGAGGCCTAGATAAGAGATACTAGGGTTAGAGAGAGATAATATTTTCTATACTATTATTTACTAGAATTTAACTCTTATCGTTATATAACACTAAAAACTAGGTCTTTTTTAGTTAGGAATCCGCTTTTTAATAAATAGTTAAAAAAGAGGGTTTTTCTAGCGATAAGGAGTGGCCCGCTCGCTATGTTGGCCCACTCGCTATGCGAGTACGTTAGACGTTATACTTAAGTATATAGTCTATTATATATACTAGTATAATAAAAAAAAGCAGGTAAGTAGGTAAGAGGTGTATAGGTACTAAAGAGTAAACTATAAGCGACTAGAGAAAAAGAGGTTCTAGAGGTAGTAAGGTAAGATCTGGTTTAAGGACTATGTATACTGTTAGTGGTGTAGGCTTCCTTAGAAGATATATAAGGGGGCGTAGGTAAACAGGGTGGAGCTTAGGCTAGACAGGTACCGGTAAGCAAACGCTATGCTGCTAGTGATCTAGTGGATGATGTAGTTTAGCGT